GTCCGCCGATATGTTCTGCGAATTTATTAAGAAGAATATATTTTATTAAATCTGCTAACCGTTTTTGCGGCCCCCAAAAGGACCCAGCACCCTTCTGCAGTCTCTCATAAATTCATGTCAAACGGGGCCAAGGTTGCCACTTCCTCGGGCGGAAGCCACAGGTGTGACAGCAGCAAATTAAGTTGCACATATAACTCACAGCTCCAAGACATCGCCGTCAAGGAAATTGCCCCAGCTATATGTGTTCTAGATGTGTCCTAGCCCCCCCCCCTCGACTCCTCTGAAAAGTTGCCGCCTCACACAAAATATAATGTGTACGACCCATGTCATGTATTTTACAATTGTTGCCAACTCCGTTTGTCATTACAGCAAATGAGTTTGGCAGCCACGAGAAAATAAAAAATAACACGAAGCCAAACAAGAAACTCGCATAAATTACCAGGACCAGCAGCTGCCTCTCGGAGAAAGTGGAGAAAGCGCTGACCATTGTCTTAATCCGCTTAAATTATGGCATTCTAGACGAACGAGCGTGTCAACGACTCGCCAGCAGTTCAGCGTTCGAGCATAACTCGAGATAATTCGGTTATTACGGGCCAACGAACGTGTTAACCATATATGACCCAAAAGTCGAACACAATATCGGAGTCAAAGCCAAATAACTTTTTCTGGGACATAGATAGACGGCGCAAATATACGATAATTGTACACACACATTGCGATTGGCCAAATAAAACGACAACTTAGTTTGAGTTGACAAGTGGCAGAGGCCAAGTCAGGATCAGGTTAATCGTCGAAAGGTTAATGCCTCGCCAAGAAAGTTAAGACTGCAATTGACCCCCGAGGTCCTCGTGTGGAGCTCAACAGTAAATATTAATTAAATAATTTAATTAGACGTTCTTTGTAATACAGAGCATATGTCAACCACATATATGGTTGTTCAATTATTACAGGCAATTCAAAGACACCACCTTAGCTCGTTGTATGCTAATAATTATACTTTCCTGTTGACCTATTTAGGCACATATAGCTTAAATGCACTTTGTATCAATTTAAACATTTTCTAACATTTTCCTTCACCTACAGTTTGCTAAATGTAAATCAAATTTAATTACAGAATTACTTGACTCGTTAATGGCAACTGTCAATACTAGTTAAAGGAATTTAAAGTGACACATTGTCACTCCATTTTAACGTATTAATTGAACTTGTTATATAAGTACCTACCAATACAATACCATTTAAATATCAACGTATTAGAAAAAGTATTTTATTATGAATTTTACCTTGTTTTATTTTATTGTTCTTTTTCAACGGATTTATCATATTACACAAGCCGCCAGCTACAGTCTTATTTCTATGTAAGTTTCTGAGCCTGTACTTTTTGTTCACTGTTGTTTTATTGCATATTTTCCTTTGCAACATTGTTTCGATTTCAACATTCTTTCATGGTTTTCTTCAGGGCTACGCAAAGTTAATCAACATTCAGCCAACCAAGGTTATGAAAGCATGATGTCAGTAAAAACAAAAGCAGGAAGATTTATTCAACTGCATTGAGGAACTTTTTGCTACCAGAATTTTTCACGCACGATTTGCCAGCTGCAAACTGGTAATTGAATGGGGAAAAGGAAAATATTCGTATGATTTTGTAAAAAATGCTGAATATTGAATCACTATGCAGCCTAACACGAAAGATTCCTTCTGCAGAATATTTATTGAGCTGCATTTTGTGCCCACAGCTTGCTCAAGGATGAGAAGATGGGGGATTATGGGAAATAAATGTCATAAATAATGGGCCACATATTTGGAATTTCAAAAGAATTGGTGCAACAGAATGGGTTTTTTTAAAGCCGAGCTGAGGAATAATAGGCCAATTTCAATTTAGCGGGCCACTCTTATAATCACGCTTGTTCTCAAACTAGGAACCTGGCCAAAAAGAAACACATTGTGGCAATCGCATAATGAGACGACAACCCATTACCACTTTGGGTGAGCAGTCTGATTCCGAAAATCCTCGTTCGCCCTCAATGGAGTGCATTCGATCGAGAAAGCCAGGAGCAATTGAGCTGTCCCAACCAAAGGCATCAAGGTGTTAGTAGACTAATAGCACCTGCCGAGCCAGAAAATTGCCGAGCAGCAAATGCCAGGAGGTATTGAAGGAGGTGGAGAACGGGTAAGGGCACTTTTGCCGTTGACAATCCGATGACGTTGCCTTCATCGCTGCAGATGCTCCGCAAAATGAGCATACGCCGTGTGTGCCCGGGTAAGTGGCAGGTAGTAATGCCATTAATCAAACTGCTCGGCGAGAACTATGCCAAAGGATTTGTTCGGGGATTTGCCAAAAAAGACTGTAAAGCAGACAGCGCTAGTTGACATCCAGTTTCGCGTTGGCTTTTTATCAAATCAGGAATTGATTTGATTAGGCCCCCGCACGGGATGATAAATTATTGTCTGGCTGCTGGGGTCCTCTGACAGCTTAATGCGTGTCGTCTGCCAAACGATTTGGAAAAATTGATTGTGTCCACACTTACATTCAATTGCCAATAGGAAATTCGGCAGCCGAATGGCCAGGCAATAAACAATTCCACAGCTTCGCTCGGAATTGAAAGTGTTTTGGGTTCCGTTTGGGAGTGTATGCCGAAAACTATGGACAAGAAACATGGGAAAATAATTTAATCTTTTTTTGCCCACAGCAAATACCAAGCCACAAAAGTGGATTTTACTTGCAGCAATCGACAGATAATGCAGATGGAAAAACAAAGCCACACAACCACTATAATCCAGTCGAATGCTTCCGTTGGCAGAGGCAATCTAAAAATGCCTTTGCACTGAATGTTTTTCCGCATCGGCCAACTAATAATTCGCCCGTAATTTATATGACCGCCCTGGGAAAACGCCGGGTAAACAACATAAATAAAGCGACCAATGAAATTGTAAAGTGCCGTGTCGTCGGCTCTCAAAGTGGCCAAAACCCACTCAAGTGACTCTGACACCTTGCAGCTCAAGTAATTAGCAATTTGTATGGCTTTTGGTCGGGGCCATTTATTACGCAAAGCGCTTACAAAACGCCCGACTGGCCATAAAAGTTCAACACCGCTTGGACACCTCGGCGCTGCCCGCAAAAGTGTGCTACGCCAGAATTTCTCCGCAGGCCGGCTAACCGGCTCCACCTAAGCATAATGAATGTTACCTAAGCATGATTTATATCACTACGCAGCTCATAAATCTCTGGGTCAGCAGGAAATGGCCAAAGGCTGAGGCGGCAGGCAAAAGCTGAATACCCTTTATACGGCTGATCGGACTACAAATCTGTGGCAATCGAAGTGTCGACGCTTAAATATAAATAAATATCAATATCACTTCGCCATTAGCTTGGCATATGATTTTTAAAGGGAATACTTGTAAACTTCAGTTCCTGTTAGTTCATGTTATATAATTCAATTTGTATTAAAGAAGTGGCAAAACACCTAAAGCATATTACATGTAATATTCACATAACATTTTTGTCCTACTTTTATTATATTGGAATAGCTATTTTATCTCATATCGAGTCTTCCTAACCTTTTAACCTGGCACCACAAAAAGACGTGACCCAGCGACCCGAAACGAATGGATTTGCAGATACACCTCACCTTCCGGAAAAGTTCACATAATTACGTGCACCAGCCGGACTTTCGAGCTGCCAGGAAGGTGCGAAGGTGGATCCCGACACTTTGACCTTTTGGCCACAATGTGCGCTCGTTAGTCAATGCTTACCAATTTGTTATCAATCAATAATAAATGTAAATAACATAATAATAGGAACACAGGCGTGGGCGAGATGCGTGGCCTCGTCGGCCGAAGATGATGAGGCATCGTGGCATCGACAGGGCATCGACTCAAATTGTCTATGCGAAAGTAAGAGGAATTTGGCCTAAATGAATTATGGCCGGCACAAAAAAGAAGTGCGAAAAGCGGCCATGGAGGCATGCGATATTGTTTTTTTCCGCCTCATCACGGCAGCTGTTTTCCGAATAGACAACGCCGCCAATTGAGCGAAAATCAATGGCAATCCAGTCAGTTGGCCAGGGTCCTATAAACACAAAGACGCCGAGATACAGCCGCCCAGAAACACCCCCCGATCCAATCAGGCGATACTGGACACTGGATAGTGGATACTGGATACTGAATACTGAGAGCCCGTGGTCTTTGTCTTACTTTACACTTCTTCACTGTAACCAATTCTGTTTTTGTTTTTAGTTTCGCCCGGCGGTCATTCAGTGGGGATTCCGAAGGCATTCGATACCATTTCCCTCCTTAAAGCTACAAAAACAGAGAGCTGGAACAGATACAAATGGCTGGGTATTGGTTTATCTGGGGAATACGAAAACCAGTTATTCCACTGCACCTGTCTTCGGTCGGTGAGTTTTCCTGTTGCCGTGAGCAAGTTCATCTTATTCCGGCTAATTATTCCATTTGTTTTGCAGCTCCAAGTTTTTTGTCTTGCTCCGTTCCGTTGCCCCAAGGATTCCGTGGCGTGACTGCACTATCAAAAAGTGCCGTGGCAAAAACTTCTGCCTGGCTGGAGAATGGAGAAAGGATTCTGGGATATGGGGAACTCCCCCCGCGAATGGCGAACATATTGCATAGCACATGCAATTCTGTCAAAACAGTCGTACTCGGTTAGCAGCTGGCAAGTAACGCATGAGAAATGAGCAAATTAGTGGGCGAGTCACGGAAAAGTTTTAGCCGGATTTTGCCTCCAGATTAGCGGGAGAATACTTTGTTATTCTTTTAGCCGTTTGTTTTCAAAGTAATGGTAAGACCAACTCCGCGAAAGCATCGTCTCCCAATCCGATATATATGTGGTGGAAAGCTTTTCGCAGTAGAACTGATTTAATTTGTTGTATTTTATACTAGCTGCCAGAGGCAACTCTATAAACAATCGCCAATACAGTTGGGACGGTTATGCTAGCTAAAAAGTTTTAATCAGTTAAGAACTGGCTGTAGACCAAACTAATAAATTTCGGCAAATACAAATTTAATTGGTTTTTAATCTGATTTACCAAAGTTTCGTTCACGGTAAAATCTTTGATAAAATTTGTAATTAATTAATACGCCCTTATAAATTCCCTGTAAGTATCGACTTAATCTATGTTTAACTTATTTTACCCAGCCTTTGCTTTTATTACTAAACTTTCCCATTTTGTTGGATACATTAAGGCATTAATTAAAATTCAAATGCTTTCCACTTTCAGGTAAATGCCATTTTCCGTGCCCAAAAGAAAAGATTTCTTTGTGAAAATCAAAGGAACTTCAGTGCGATTTGAAGCGGAAAATTTGAAACGACGAAGCAGCGATACGAGGCCAACCTTCGCCTGAACCTTTCCAAAACGAAGACCAATGCAATTGCGGGGTCCATCGCCAAAGGGCAAATAAGCCATCGGGTGACGGGACTTGACTTCCTCCGGATCAAAGCGACTGGGATCGAACCTTTCCGGCTCGGGATATATCTCAGGGTCGTGGTGAATATTGTGAACGGGGATCAAGGCACTGACGCCCTTGTCGAGCACAATGTCTGTGTTGGGCACTTTGTACTCCCTATTGCACTCTCTGATGAGATGGGGGAGAAGGGGGTGCTTGCGAAGGGTTTCTGAAAGTAATAAAATGCTTAGACTCATTTATATTAATCCGAACCAATTGTACTTACCGGCTACCACCTGATCTAAGTAAGACATTCGCGCCAGGGCGTCGTAGTTAAGCTTCCCTTCTTCCTCATTGGCCAGCACACTTTCGATCTCCTCCCTCACCCTCATCTGAATCTCCGGCTGCAAGGCCAGTTCGTACAGGCAATAGGACATAGTGCTGGAAGAGGTCTCGAATCCAGCCACGAAGAACACGAAGGCCTGGGCAGCCATTTGCTCCAGGGTCAGTCCTTTGGAAAGATCGATACCCTTACCCTTTCTAGCCGCTTCTTGGTCCTCGGCGCGAATCTCTATCAACTGATCAATGAAGTCGTTCCGTTTTATGCCATTTTTGAGGCGATAGTCGACGGTGTTCTTTACCGCCGACAAGAAGAAATCGGTTATATCATTAGGAAGTACCTTCATCCTTAACAGCTTAGCCAACTTGGCGTTGGTAGTGAGAAATGCTTCCACTATCTGGGAATGACGACGTTTTGTGAAAATATCACGACCCTTCTGCCGGAACTCTGCTTTAGGATCCTGAAGACTGTGGCACTCCAGCCCAAAGGCACACGATCCAATGACATCCGTGGTGAATCGTGCACAGAGGTCCTTGATCTCCACATTGCCATCGTCCACTTTGGCCTCCTTCACTGCCTTATCCATGGCATCGCCCAGGCGTTGACCCACCTCCACAATCACTCCCGTCATGAGCTTCATCTTTCCGGAAGTGAAAACCGGAGAAAGCTTGTGCCTCATCGATCGCCACTCGTCACCCTCGAGGGAGAAGAGGTGACCCGTTAAGGGATCGTCCCGGGGATTACTGAACCCGCCACGGTCTTGAAAGTAGTTGAAGTCCTTAATCATCACCTGCTTAATGAGGTCTAGATCAGTGATCAGGGCGGTGCGCCTAATGAACGTGTACATTCCAGCGAAAGGAGCCTTTCCCTTGAACTGATCGTAAATCCTCTGATTAATGTCCCGGAAATGGTACTTGGAACCGATTCCCTTCATGTTACCAATTAGCGGCAAAGGTTTCTCGTAAGGAACTCCTTTTCGTTCCCAATAGGTGAAGGTTTTCATGTAAAAATGGTAGGCCAAGGCCAAAAGTAGGCCCAGTAGAGCAATAGTGAACAGCATTGCGAGCAGTTACTTTTTCACTTAGTTCTCGATAAAATCTCTAGTAGCACTGCTCGTTTAGCAGCTTATTTCACCTTTTTATACCTTAATCGAGCTTTTAACGAGGCCTTATCTATCTGAAAACATAAAAGATTGCACTAATGGTGACTTTTTAAAACGACAAACAATCTCGGATACACAGCAAGCAAGGTTCAAGCTTTTAAATAAAAATAGATCGGTAGAAACGAGTTCCAAAAGCCATTGAAAAATAATTATTTTATTAGTTAAACAATTACAACCAAAAGTCGCCAACTTTGAAATATCAGCATGGCAATTTCACCGAATGGGTAAATGTTATCGTATCCCCGACTTCACTGGATCAGCATTCTGAGAGAACTGGTAAATTTGCATCGAAGCACGATGATTATAGATTTCTGTAGAGCTTTTTAACACTTCAGAGAGCTTCAACCCTCTCAAATACACTCAGAAAAAAATTTAAAGGTTTAAGGAAGCATGGACTACATTACCTAAAATAGAGTCTGAACTTCGTTGTGGACTTCAAGGCCATACAATAAGAAATTCAGTCTAAAAACTTGTTAAGTTACCTGAAAAATGTAACATCTTGATATGAAGTTTTCCATCAATGTCTTATTTCAACATTTGTATTAATTTATTAAGTAAAAAAAATTATTAAATACAAACTATGCATTTATTGCTTCAAAGCAATAGTGGCTTACATCTTAAGAAAGAACAACTTAAGGGAATAAAAGACAATAACCTTTTAAAACATATCTTTCCCGGGCCGAAGGACTTTAGCTTCCAGCGCCCCTTCTTGTTCTAATATTTATTTTCGTATTACATACTAGATTTAATTTGTAAAAAATAAAATAAAAATAAAAAAATAAAAATGTCATTCTACTACGAAGCATGTACACAAAAAAAATAAATAAAATTTAAAATTTTGTCACCCACCATAATTCATAAATACGTGTTAAAGGAACCAAGAACCCACAATGGACTTAAATTAAGTCTATCATTAATTAAACTCAAATGCAGTCCACATAACCCTGGTTTAAGTAAATTTTTGGTTTTTGTGTCCATATTTTGTCTGAGTGTACCAATTTCTATTTATGAACCACATGTTTTATAGGTTGTTAGCTCTGAAATGAACAAATGTAAGAATGAATCGACATTAACGATAAATTAATCTTAACAATTGTACTTAATAAAACATGGGTTAGTCATACTTAAAGGTAGTTTCCTAACAAGCATTATCTATCTTTTAAATTAAGACGCACTGGGACTACATTTTGTTTATTTTTAACCCTGTACTTAGGTATGTAAATTTAAACACTTTTAAATCATAAATAAGAACAAACGAATGGAGCACATTAGAACAGTTTGTTCAGGTTTTGAATGAAATTTACCAATTCTTCTAGCAGATTTATATTTGTCTGTTATATTTGTTTTCGCTGTGCTATAATATATGCATTTGTATAGTTTGATTCATGGAAAAGACAATCTATTATTTATAATTTTGCCGTGAAATAATTCCACTGAAAACCACAAATCCATCAAAATCAGAAAAAGCCATCCATGTATAATAAGCATAATCCATAGGCCCAGGTTGATTATTTAATACCAGCTTTTGTTTTGGTTTTTGTTTGTCACGCAGCGAGTTTTATGGGTCGAGCTGCCTTTAACGGCGGCATTACGATTTTTATGTCGATTGGAAGATGGCGCATTAGCGGCATAAAACGGCCAGTAAGCATTAGGGCCAAATCCTTTAAGCACCAACAACAGCACACACGGCCGCCCACAGGCCCAAAATGCTTTTAGGCGCGACTCCGTTTTATTATTTACTGAGGAGTACCAGATAGAGGTCCTGCGGAGAGGAAGCTGGGCGTTTCAACCACTTCACTGCCGCCACCAAACCAACACGTTGTCCATCTGGAACGGCGTTTAATGGGCCTTTAATCGCTTTCGCATAAATTTTCCCGCGACTTTGTAATAAACCTGGGAATTCAGTGACGCCAGCGTCCCGGTTTTATGTCAGTTTCATTGAGTTTACGCTTGATTTGATTTCTGCAACGAGCCCAGTTTAATTAAAGGTGGGATGCAAAGGCCAAAAGGCAACAAACGAGTCGTCTAACAAATCATCAACTGTCTGTCAATAAAAGCCTGTTTTCAGTTTCCTGTTTACACCCAGGCTCACATTTCAATTAAGAGGACAAACACTCAAGGAGTCGATTGGACAAGTGTCTTCCGAAGGATCTTAAATTGAGCATTCAAAAGCAATCAGTTTTAGAAAAGTTCAATCAGTTTAAAGAAAATATTTGAGTTAGAGCCGAACCACAATAGCCAATAAGGAGAAAATTCAAATTTAAATAGAATTGTATGCTGCCTTTTATCAAGTTCATTCGTCCAATGTTTATTTGTAGATACAAGTACAATCGCAGAACGCCAACTGATATTCCGACTCTCTTCACCATGACAAAGCATTTAACGGCATTAAGAACGTGAACAAAACATTTGTTTGACGCTTTATCTATAAGTTCTATTGTGGTAGTCGTGTCGCAGTGAAGAATACATTTCTTGATAATAAAAACGATTCAACAACAATGAGTTATATTTGATAGCTTTTGTGATTACTTTTATCCGATATTCTAAAGTGAATTAAAATTCATAATATAATAGGAGGTTTCATTCAGTGAAAAATACTCATTAGACACGTAAAAATATTTCATAATTTTCTTAATTGTTAACTCATTATTTATGCTCCAATAGGGGAATTAAGTTGTAGCTGGATTCATAAATTGTAACAGCTCTATGTAGCCTAGAGCCTAGAGCTTCCGTCTCCAAAAAGGATTTTTCCTTTCTATTGGTTTTTTTTTATATCCTAGCAAAGGGGATTTTTGTTTTGGTCAGAAGCTTATAATAAATGAAGCTTATAAATGAGATAGTAATTGATAGTTCCCATAAGAAAGATAAATTAAAACTTTAAAAATTAGTCAGTTCCTAAAGAAATGTTGCGCAATGTAAGAACTATGGAAATGTATACCTTTGTAGGGTCAGTATACCCTAATACTCGTACTTCAAGACATTTGTCTATATTTCAGTGTCGAAAATTGTATAATTTTTGTTTCATTCATATAACGTTTGAAAGAGTATTAAAATTCTGGTTCCGTTTTCTTTTTGTAAGCTGTTTTGATCGATTAGAAGTGCTCCAAGTAAAAACAAAACCATTTCTCTCCTGCCCAGCTCAGCGTTACAGAGCACTTTCCCGGCATATATATTATTATATATTATATTTGTTTATTGTTAAATCTATCGCTTCTGTTTTGATCGTCGCATGAAAAAAAGCTTTGACATCAGAGAGCACTCAAAAAGAGCTTTGCAAATGTTTATCTATCAGTTTTGTTTTGATGGTTCAAAGACGAAATAGAGAGACTTTAGCTTTTTGCATTTTTATATACCGCATGCTTTGCAAACATTTCTCAGTGCTATTTGTGCGTTAAACAAATCAAATTCAACAGAGCTAATATACCTAATAGAATTAAAGACGCAATTATTATATTCTTTTTAGTATTTGCTTATGCGACGTTATTTATTCCAACGGTATATCATTTTATAATAACTGGGAATAATTAAATGTTAGGTCATACCAATTGCCATGCTGTTAACACTAGCACTACTGGGCGTGGCCATATTTTTGGCCTATAGTTTCTACCATAATTCCTACACCTATTGGGCCCGGAAGGGAGTTCCTCATGAGCGCCCCCTGCCGCTGATTGGAAACTTGAAGGGAATTGGGTCAAAGTACCATTTCCGGGACATCAACCAGAGGATCTACGATAAATTCAAGGGCAAGGCTCCCATCGCGGGAATGTTCATGTTCTTCAAGCGAACCGCCATGATCACCGATCTGGACCTCATCAAGCAGGTGCTAATCAAAGACTTCCATCACTTTCAAGATCGCGGCCTTTTCAACAATCCTCGAGACGATCCCTTGACAGGACACCTCCTGACTCTAGAGGGCGACGAGTGGAAATCAATGAGGCAGAAGCTCACACCTGTTTTCACCTCCGGGAAGATGAAGCACATGTCGGAAGTGGTTGTGGAGGTCGGTCATCGCCTGGCCGATGCCATGGATAAGGCCGTAGAGGAGGCCAGAGTGGAGTACGGCGATGTGGAGATCAAGGATCTCTGTGCCCGGTTCACCACGGATGTCATTGGGTCGTGCGCCTTTGGCCTGGAGTGCTACAGTCTCCAGGATCCCAATGCCGAGTTCCGCGAAAAGGGTCGCATGGTCTTCGAGAAACCCCGCCACTCTATGCTGGTGCAGGCTTTTATATTCACCAATGCCAAGCTGGCCAAAAAGTTGCGTATGAAGGCTCTACGCGACGATCTGACCGATTTCTTCCTGTTAGCCGTAAAAAACACAGTCGAATACCGCATCAAAAATGGCATAAGGCGAAACGATTTTATGGATCAGCTCATAGAGCTCAGAGCCGAGGACCAAGAAGAGGCTAAAAAGGGTCAGGGTATCGACCTGTCCAATGGATTGACCATGGAGCAAATGGCTGCCCAGGCCTTCGTGTTCTTTGTGGCTGGATTCGAAACATCCTCCAGTACGATGGCGTTCTGTTTATACGAGCTGGCTCTGCAACCCGAGATTCAACAAAAGGTAAGGGAGGAGATTCATAGTGTTTTGGATGGGAAGGAGATATCCTACGACGCTTTATCCGAAATGACCTATCTGGAACAGGTGTTGGCAGGTAAGATATATATTTTAGTAAAGAAAATATATTCCCTAATTAATATTACTTGCAGAAACGCTTCGAAAATATCCCATTATTGCGCAACTTTTGCGCGAAACTAATGAGAGCTATAAAGTTCCCAATACAGATTTGGTTATTGAGAAGGGAACTTCAGTTTTGATACCCGTACACAACATTCACCATGATGCGGACTTATATCCTGAACCGGACCGTTTCGATCCCAGTCGCTTTGATCCGGAGCAATCGAGGTCCCGTCACCCATTTTCTTATTTGCCCTTTGGCGATGGACCACGTAGTTGCATTGGTCTTCGATTCGGAAAAATGCAAGCCAAGATAGGTCTTGTATCCCTGCTGCAACGCTTCCAGTTCGGCATTTCAAAATTAACCGAAGTCCCATTAACTCTAGACACCCGCAGCCCTACTTTGTCTACCAAACATGGCATTCATCTGAAAGTGGAGCGCATCTAAGGACTGAACTTGGAAATAGGACATTTCTATCCTTCAAATATAACTCCCAAAGGTCATTTTTCCAATTAATGTTGGATTCCTCTTATCTACAAATGTAATACCATTAAAAAACTAATATGTTTTATCTGGAGTGTTTGTGCTTCTGGAGCCCTAATTTTTATTGACGTTTCCTCCCTTTTTTACTAACTATGGAATACTGTGTAAGCTGTTTTATATGTTGTCAATAATTTAATATAATAATAATACATTTTTGATATATTTATAAATAATCATTTATTTTAATAATTCGACTTATCGTGATGTATTTTGTATTTTTCATCAACTATAATATTCAAGTGTTTTGGAGAGTCTTATAAAATGACGCAATCAAGATATTGTATGTGTGTTTGGATAGTTGCAGTTTTGACTATATAATAACGCCAGAAAGAGAGCGAGGCATAAAAAGAGAGTGCACAAAAAGCTTTTCCGCCGGCAAAATCATGTATGCCCCACTTTTCCATTCAGTTGCTATTCAATCGAACTGCGGGCACCATGTTGACGTTCCTGATTCTCGTGCTTACCGCTGTACTTTTGCTATATGTCAAGCTAAGCTGGCACTACGCCTACTGGAAGCGCAGGGGCGTGGCTGGCGAGACACCCGTGTTCTTCCGCGGAAATATGAGTGGACTGGGCAAGGAACTCCACTGGACGGACATCAACCTGCGGATCTACGGGAAATTCCGGGAGAAGGAGCGCTACTGCGGCTACTTCACCTTCCTCAGCAAGGCCCTGTTCGTCATGGACTTGGAGCTGATCAGGAAGATAATGGTCAGTGACTTTGGCAGCTTCGCCGACCGCGGACTCTTCCACAATGTAAAAGACGATCCGCTGACAGGGAATCTCCTGTTCCTGGACGGACCCGAGTGGCGCTGGTTGCGCCACAACCTGACGCAGGTGTTCACCTCGGGCAAGATGAAGTTCATGTTCCCCACCATGGTGGAGGTGGGCGAGAAGCTGACGCAGGCATGTCACCTGCAGGTCGGCGCGATCGAGGCCAAGGACCTGTGTGCCCGCTTCAGCACGGATGTGATCGGGAGCTGCGCCTTCGGTCTGGAGTGCAATAGCCTCCAGGATCCGGAGTCGGAGTTCCGACGCATGGGCCGCTCGGTGACCACGAATCCTCTCCACTCCACGCTCGTACAAGGATTAATGTTCGCCCAGCCGGATCTGGCCAGGAAGCTGCGCTTCAAACTGTTTCGTCCGGAGGTCAGTGAGTTCTTCCTGGACACCGTTCGCCAGACATTGGACTACAGACGGCGGGAGAACATCCAACGCAATGACCTGATCCAGTTGCTCATGGAACTGGGCGAAGAGGGGGCCAAGGATGCATTGTCCTTCGAGCAGATTGCAGCTCAGGCAATGGTCTTTTTCCTAGCCGGGTTTGACACCTCATCCACCACCATGTCCTTCTGTCTGTTTGAACTGGCCTTAAACCATGATGTTCAGGATAAACTACGGGTTGAGGTCCTGGAAGTTTTGGGACGCAACAATCAAAAACTCACATATGAGTCCGTTCAGGAAATGCCCTATTTGGATCAAGTGGTGGCTGAGACCCTACGAAAGTATCCCATACTGCCTCATTTATTGAGACGCTCCACGAAGGAATATTTAGTACCGGATAGTGACTTAGTTCTAGAGTCGGGAACTAAGATTATAATACCTGTGCATAGTATTCACCACGACCCCGAGCTATATCCAGATCCAGAGAAGTTCGATCCCAGTCGCTTTGAGCCCGAAGAGGTCAAGGCCCGTCCTCCCTTTGCCTATTTGCCCTTTGGCGATGGACCACGCAATTGTATAGGCGACCGTTTCGGAAAATTACAAGTAAAGGTGGCCCTTGTCTACCTCCTTAAGGACTTTAAGTTCAGCAGATCAAAGAAAACACAGGTGCCGCTGAAGTTTTCGAGTCGTACATTCCTGATATCCACCCAGGAGGGAGTTCATCTGCAAATGGATAGACTTGCCTCACCCTAGAAATGGTCATTAAAAATCATGTATTAGTCATAAAATGAAAAATGTAAGAAATTGTAATCTACTAATTGTTGCGGTTCTAGATTGCATTAATTCCTATAATATACATATGAACACAAAGATATGGTCTTTCAGGAAAAGCTTAAATGCACTCTCATTGAGAATGCCTCTCTCAAAAGCTTTATAACCAAAGCCAAATTGATAGCACCGGTACACAAAAAAGACCATGAATAATATAAACGTAGTCTTAAAGGATTTTACCAGTAGGTTACGGACGCCAAGCTTTCCATTACTTCACAGTTTTGAGAAACTCAGCCAAAGTACTTTTTAAGTCTTTACTAGAACTAATCCCCTCTTAGTCAACAGAGAAACAAAACCATTTATGTGGGACCCCTGCTTCTTTAGTTAAATCAAAAAAGAACGCTATGGACAGCACACCGCAAGAATCTGCAGAATCTGTATGCTTATCCCTTGTAGCTTCCATTGTTTTCAAGATCTCAGCGTTTATACGGACGTTTTAGGGTAATTTAAAAAAAATTTAAAAGACGTAAATTTGGTACTTTTTAATTTAAGGTTTGGGGTAGTAAGTAACTACCAGTAACATAAATACAGTCATCATTTAGTGTCGACCTGCGTAAAACGGAAGCCAGCAACAATAATACAAATTAAAAATCTAAAAAAAAATTCTAAAGTCAAATTCTAAGTCAATATACTTTGCAAATATTACTTACATTTTGGTTGACCATTTAAAAAAACAGAAGAATGGAATTAAGACGAACACTTTTAATGGTTAAATTAAATCTTGTTTTTTGTTTCTATACATTTTAGAGCCATTAAACTAATTCGTCAGGACTAGGATTCAGAATTTGAATCCTAGGACTTAGGACTTAGGATTTAAAAATAAAGGCAAGCCCGAAACTGAAAATTAAGAAATGTTAAAATACACATTCCTGTTGGTAAACTAAAAGTTGTTATTAGTTATTAAATTAAGGATAGAACACCTTTTGTGATTTTAAAATTAACTTCAAAATTTACTTATGAAATAAAAAACCAGGAAAAGGAATTTCTTTGATTTTTCTGTCGGTTATTATTTCAAAAAAAGTTTACTGCTACAAAACTCAGATGGTTGTTGAAATGGATAAAAGCTGTCGGCTAAAATAAAACAAACAAAAGCTGGCTAGTACTATCACGAATTTAAATTTCAGCAATAATGTATTATCCAATTATCTGCAAATTAGTTTAAATATTAAAAATCGCTGTATTTTCAAATGTGTTTTCAAAATGCATGAATGATATATTAATCTAGTATCTTCCAATTTGTTAAAATATTAAATAATTCGTTTTTTACCTTCACTTTAGGGTTGGCATTCATAGAAAAAACTTGTAGATGTCTTAGCTGAACAAACACCATTAAGAGGTTTCTGGTACAATTACCTCATCCTTAAAATAAGGCCTAGGTAAACCAAGTTTGCTTACTCCCCACCAGGGCAGGAATAAAAATCCAAGAGAATAACGTTTTCCTAATGTTGTGGGGGAATATAAAACAATTTGTTGAGAAGAAATCAAAAATTTAAAATAATATGGATTTACATATACTTTTTTACAGAATGGGGTTCTATTCCCCATATCCCCCCGTGGATCCGCGCATGATGGAACTAGATAATATTCTCGATAGGAGCTATATGACTATGAGAAGGAAAAGCACAGACTTCAATTTGTTCTATAAATTTGAATTTGATTCATTCAGTTGTACTTTCCTCTTTTTTAATTATACCGCTTAGTGTACAATAATTATCCCAAAATAATCATGTTCATTTTTTCTTCGTAAAAACTAATTTTATTAATAATACATACAATTCAGCTTATAGGTACAAAGAATGCCTGCACGCAAGCTGTCATTATGGATGCATTCAGGGGAGTTAAGTTAATAAGTTAATTGGTTTCGCTTGATTCTGACGACAATGGTATCCAATCTCAATGATGATCACAACGACAACGTCCACGCGGTTGGAGTAGATCTGCCTGGGATTCTTGGGGTATGTGGGGTGTGAGGGGTATCTATTGTACACAAGTATGTCTTAATCAGCTATTCATAATCTAGATTTGCGCACCACTAGCACGACTCCTTGTTGCAGTCGACGAAGTTGCTGAACTCGGTGGCATTGGGCGGGCCCTCACTGTACAGGTAGGTCACGGGCCACAGACGGGCGGCGGCAAAGTCACTGAGGCTCTGCAATCCGCCCGGTCGAGGTGGATGCTGGCTGTATTCGCTGCTGGCCGCCGTCGCCGGCTGCGAGTGATGAGGATGTGGGAGTGGATGCTTCTGTTTCTCCTTGCCACTGGGCAATCCCAGGTGGGAGTGCGTCGGCTGGGTGCCGTTTTTGCCGGGGAAGTACCGATCGCTGCACTTGCGCCACTGGTCCGATTCGTCGCCCACAAAGCACCTGGAAAATTGCGTAAAAACATCATAACATCGTCAAAACAAGTAACATTACATCTTAAAATCATCTTTGCTTAAAGATGTATTAGTCTAGTCCAGAGTTTCGTATAACTCAATTTTTTTTACGGATCATACAAATATTTTTAAAACAAATCTTAATTATTTAAAGCTTATAAAATACATTTTATTGTTTTTTATAATTTTAAGAATTATTATGGATTTTAGAATGGAACTATTTGACTTTGGGCACTTTTCCGGACCGCATGATAGGCTAAAATTTGGGTTTAAGCACTAAGTCCATACGCTTAGGTTTTAGATTAACATCAGGACAACAAACTTAAAACATATAATACCTTATGAATACCAAAATCGACTATATATGGTGTTGATGAGGTGGAACATGGACTCCTTTTACTTACCAGGGATAATCGAAGCCCTTGCTGTAGCCGCATGGGTGGTCCGCCTTGCAGCAGTAGTCCCAGGAGCCCACCTCGGAGGCGTCCGTCTCGCAGGAGTAGAAGCCCGTGATCAGGTTCTTCGCACAGGGGCTGCTCCGGCGGCAGGGTTTTCCGGACACGGTGTAGTGGCGCCAGGCCACGTCGCCTTTAGCGGACAAGAAGCGGGTTTAGTGAGGTCAAGAGCACGGGGTTTGGGGGTGGAAGTCGGGATCGAGTTCGAAAACGGTGGCATGCAAACGATCGGTTAGTAGCTTTTGGGGGATTCGTCTTTCGGTTATTCTGGGACTGGGACCGCTGTACATGCTAGTAAACGTTATTTACACAACATTCTCCGCTACAAACTAATTACACAAATTCTAATGCTAGTAATACATGTCTAATGCTAATCCGCTGCCCGGTTAGAGCAGCCGGAACCGGTTATTTACACTTGGATCGAGGTGCAACATGTTAGTAGGTTCAGTTTACCCGGTTCCCGGAAGATGTCCATGCGCCGGTCATTGTTGACCCGCGATCCTCCAATGGTGTTGACCTTGTCTCGGCAGGTCCAATCGAAGGGATTCCAGGCGAAGAGCCAGAAGTCACGATCCTTGGTGTGTGCATAGTGCACATCCTGCTTCAATTCGGTCTGATCCAGATCGGATAGTTCGCAGTTGAAGGAGCTGGCATGGGAGCTGGTATGTAGAACGGATTTCAGTTACATTGGACACAATAATATTCTTATAACTCACCCATAGCTGAAAGCGAAACACTTGAAAGGAGTCGTCTCCCGGAAGCGGATGCACTCCTTCTTGCAGGCCATCTCAGAGGGCACAGAAATTACCTTCTTGATGGCCGGAGGAAGCAATCTAGCCGGCGATCCATAACCCAAGTAGCATACTAAGATAAGAAATTTCAACATTACATCTTGCAGAGCAAAATCAGTCTATACAACCCACGTTTCTTGTGCTTTTCATCCACAATCGGCTGAATTTCGCATCCATGTCCATAGCTCGCTCGCTCGAAAATGTCGAAGGCTGCGTCCAGGATGAGATGGCGCTCCTTGTCCATGTCCCTCACCGGCCAATCACTCAGCTGGCAGTTGTCGATGACCCCAGCATGTCGCTGCTGGCCGTATCGGAAGGCAAAGGCCCGGCAGGTGAACTTCGTGGAGCGGATGCACTCCATCTCGCATTCGCCCACAGATCGCACGGTCAGCGAGTCGCGCACGATCGATTTGAAAAAGCGCGTGGCATCGATTGCTCGGAAGAAGCACTCTGGAAAAGGAGATTTAATTTAAAAGGATTAGGCCGAACATTTCATAAATAAATAAATAAAAAGGAGTGATACTTACTGGTGAAACAATTACACAGAAAAAAGATTTATTATCCTAGGAACCATAGTCAAACACTTTTTAAAATCGTGGGTGTAACATTGAGATAATATACCAAAATTATGTTTTTTTAAACTCTTTGTGTCTGATATTTTTATCTGTTTAATACGTTTTTAAAAAATTCCTTTCCAAAAATAGAAAAATTTAATTTCATTTTTGTGTATATTAATAAAAGTATTTCTACTAAATTGTTCTGTAATGAATGTGTCTTTCGAATTATATAAAAAAAGCTAAAGCTTTTAAAAGAATCAAACATAATCTAGCAAAAAATAACTAAATGAATGTGCCGAATGATTCCGCGACTGAACCCACGACCACACTATCTACTCAATGTTCGATGGCTCTAATGATTTACGTCTTACCAAACCCTTTTAAAAAGTTCTTAGTTTTTATTGCCTAAGACTTTTTTAAACCTTTCATATTGTTTTAACACTATATTTGCACCTCAAATGTCGCACGTACAGTCATATTTTCTTTGCGCATATTTTATAAGCTAATAGAGGTAGATGAGAAGTGCTAGTAAGTATTAGTTGACTTACGTGCATTTCTCGGATCCGAGAGGGCGGTGCTAGGACCGGGATTGGGACCGGCGGTGTCGTGTCGTCGGGGCGGGGGCTGCCGGCACACGTCCATGTCGTCCGCCATGGAGTAGATGTCGTAGTCCCGATCCGGCTCGATGTCCACGTAGTAGTCGAGCATGTTGATGGGTCGGTCGCAGAGCATGCAGTTGTCCCTGCCCGCCTGGTTGTACCTGTAGCTGTACGTGTGGCAGATGAAGCTGGGTCGCTGATCCGAGCACAGGCGCTCGCACTCCGTCAAGGTGGGCACGTTGTAGGCGTGCTTTACTGCCGTCTTGTGCAGCCGGAATCCCTCGCTGGTCTTGGCCGAGCATTCTGAAATACAGAAATATTTCTATAAAATCTAATTTCTTTTCTAATTTATTGTTGGAATTTAACTTAGAATATCCAAGTATACTACTTTATTTATTTTATTCAATGCAAAAGCTTTTGATATTCGAGTATTAAAAATTATTATTTATCCTCTGAATCAGAGGTCAGTAGGGTATAGTGACAGACCATTCGTTTTTGAATATCACCTTTACAAAAACCAATATTTAAAAGCAGAAAGTTGCTGACATCTATTGAGCACAAAGTTTGATGCAAAGATTCCAGCGAAGTAAAATCCTACAGCTCTTGGCGTAAGCCAAAGTTGAAGGGTAAGGTGAAGAACTGATAAAAAACACACTACAACTCTATGCAGAAGTAAAATAAATGTATTTTTCCTTAAATAAAAAATGGATACTTTTAATCGTACCTTTAAGGTTTAAATTGACCTAATTAAGTTGTTTAAGCACCAGTTTACAAAAATCAACAAAAAATAGTTGTTAATAAAATTAACGATACAATGCCAAAATATACTGAAAAAATTAAATATTCATACCCTACAAAATGTTCGCCACAACAAGGTACTGTTGGAAATATGATGGTGCTACTTTCATAAGAGAAAACCAAAAAGTACCAAGAACTGTTGCTTACGATCTTATTAATACTTGTAAATATATATTTATCTAACTTGGTTTTCCAAAAATCTTTGCTCTGGCACTGCTGAAGGTGAGATAACCTTACTCTACTCGTCACCGTACCCTGAACTCCCCTTATAACGAATTGTTTTCGGAAAATGTAACAGCACTTTGGGTTTCAAAATCTGAAAGTACTGATCGAAACAAGTCAACCCCTTCGGAGTTCCTCCAGGTCAGCTCCAGTTTAATAACTTCATTTATATACAAAATACCAAAATGTAAAAAATTAAGCATTTGGAATTACAAACAATAAATTTTTTTTTACCCATAAGAACCCTGAAAACATGAACATAAAATCTTAATCGACTCTTCAGGTATAGCCGACTTTTACTCGAAATTATTACATCGCTGTAGTATAAAAACGCAGCTAAGGTAGAGGGTGCCTAAACGGCGCTTCACTCTTTTTAATTAGTACTTGTAAATATTAAGTCCAAAATACAAAATATTGCAAATGTTCAGTGAGTTATTATTCTTCAGTTTTACTATTTCATCCCCAGTTTTATTATTTATTACTATATTTAAGAGAATTCTGTGTGCATCTAATGAGATTTGAATGAATACCTATATTATATAGTTTTAAAAATTGAAAATTTTGTATTAAAAATAATCTAGTGTGGTACTTATCTTCCCCAAAAAATAAATTTTTTTGAAAATAATATTTGAAAAACGTCTCCGAGTTTCCAGAACCACTCACCATCTTGTCCCGGTCTTCGTGTCCATTGCTGACGGTAGTCGTTGCGCCGCCTAGGGTAATCCTCCTCGTAACCAGATCCCGGATAACTAAGCACCGAGTTGGACTCACGGTGCGGAGCCCCCAGCTGGAAGTAGTTGAAGTCCTGCTGATCCTTGCGCCGCTGCGACTCAGTAAGACCCCAGTACGAAGAGGATGATGAGGAGGAGTGCTTGCTGTTTCCGCCGTAGCTGCCTCCGTAGTGTCCCCAGTTGTCCTCGCCACCAATCAGATAGGGCACGAATTTATTGGGCTTCTTGTAGGAGCTTGGAGGACCTGGAGGTCCTGCGCCATCTCGATCGAGGTAGTTGTGAGACGGTCGGCTGGGCGGTCGGTAGGGAGAGAAGTCTGAGCCAGGTCGATAGGGTGGACGGTACTTGTCGATGCGGTCCGTTTCCGGACGTGGCGGTCTGTACGCGGAGCTGTCGTAGCCGGAGCTACTCGGCAGAGTTTCCCAGCGATCTGGTCTGCCGGGGCGATAATTTGGGGGATCGTGACGATCCACGTAGGGATGATCCCCGCCATAACTGCTGGGCGGGGTGTGGCCGAAGTATCCGGAACTGGAGCCCGAACTAGAACCCGATCCATGCGAGGAGAACTCATACGAGGATGCGGAGGAGGACGAGCTATGCGAGCTGTGCGAGCCATGGAACTCCGAAGAGAAGGGCGGTCGGTGCTCGTAGGAACTGCCCGGGGGACCCGATGGACCGCGATAGTGATCCACGGCCGTGCTGCTCGGCGGGCGATAGTGATCCCTGTCCCTGTCCCGATCCCTATCTCCAAATCCTCCTCCGCCGCCACTGGGCTTGAAGTAGACGGGCTGGCTGCTCACAGGACCCTTGGAGCAATCCTGGCAAGCACTGCGACGACAGCTGCTCGGTGCATTGCGGTCCCTCTCGTAGTAGTCGTAGTCGGGATGCCTCAGCAGATTGGCGTCCCTCCTATCCGGGCTGGAGTACAGGTCCATCTGGGCCAGCGGCATCTCAACCAGCTCGCAGTCGCCCTGGCCGTGACCCGAGGGGTCCAGCCGGTAGTTGAAGCCCTCGCACATGAATCGTCTCTCTCGTCCGCACTCTCGCATGCACTCCTCCACGCGCTCGCAGGATATGGAGCGGCGCACGAAGTGGGGGGCTATTCTCTTTCCGGCCAGGACTCGCCGGAAGCAGGCTGAAAAGGAGATCAAGTGGGTGTTGCAGTGCCAGTTGCAGAAGCTGCGTCTTACGCAATTGGGGGCAGCGAAAAAAGGCGGAAAAGTATCGACCATTCAACGTTTGGAGGCAGTGAAGCGAGGACAGAACCCAAGATCGGGGCTGTGTTACTTCATGGGTGTCTGCACTTTGAAAAAATTAAGTGTTTGCCACTGAAAAGGGCGAGATAATTGCAGCTACCTAATATCTCAATATAATAAAATAATAATGAATGTATAGCTCAAAGAAATAAACATCCATTTAAGTTGCAATTCAAATACAAGTGACACCAATTACTAAAAACAATAGCAAGGCAATTATAATGAACTTAAGTGAAAAGAGTAATTTGGCTTTTCTTTTGTGTTAAAATAATCATTATGACAGTTTCCAAACAAATCAACCTAACATTAGGAATAATTGAAATGAAAGTAAGAGCCATTCTTTCGCAGAAGAAGTTCATAAAAAATGTTATAATAATTTCTTGAGAGTTAAAACACAAAAGACATTATACTTTTTAACTTTCCACAAAAAACTTTAATCTTAAAATTGATTACGAGGAGCAACATGTTTTTGTCCAAGTGCATTTATGTCCAAGTCGGTTTCTGTTTTTCTTACGGGTCGAATTGTTTTTCGCTGTTGTTTTTTCGCGGCACATCCGCTGCCGTTTTGAGTAAATTATGTTCGAGTCATGTTGGGTGCCGTGTACTCCACCGAAGATTATCTCCGGGAAAATTGCCAGCCAAGACAGAGTGTTTTTCACGCAGAACGTTGAAAATTATGCAAATTACTTTAATACGCACTCCGAAATTCGGTCGAGCGCTGGGCCTGGGTCCCAAGTGGAATGACCTACAACCATGGTCCCCTACCTTTGGCATCCTCCACGACGATAATGGTGCTGCTGAGATCGGTGTGTCGCGTAGGACTAACGAACTTCGATCCGCCGTCGTAGACGCGACACAAAAGCAGAAGCAGCGGCAAGAGCCCACAGATACTCCTCATATTTTTCGGGGGATTATTATACTAAGCGGTGAATTTTATGTGATTACGTAATGGCTAAATTTGCGTTCTGGGCTAATTAATTTCTGTGCAATGTCAAGCGCTCGAAACAATGGGCCAAATGGCCATCCCGCTCGAACCCAGGACACGGAGACGCGAACACGATTTCCGGACGATTTTTTCGACGCGCGGCGCTGGCGATTCTAATCGCGAATGAACAGCGGCTGTGGTCAAGCTTGCGGTTTTATACGGCGTTAGAAAATCGCTAGCGATTTTCGAGCTTTTCGCTTCTACGCTTCTGAGCCGGGAGCTTTTCGCTCCGACGCTCAGAAAATCAGAAAATTACCAGTACTCCCACATTCAGTGGATTCTTTTTTCCGACGCCACGCGGAGAGCACTTCGTTTTGCCCAGAAGCCTTGGACCTCCGGTATAATGAGCATTTTCAGTGGGTGTTTTTTTCGGTGGAAGATGGCTATCTTCGCCGATGATTCAGATGAAAATACGAGGGTACAGATCGCTGCGAGATGCGATGCTGATGGGGGCAGCCAACCGTTAACAGACCTCGCTCAAGGATGCCGCAACTTGATACGGCGCCTATTATTTCGTTTCAATAAGAGCGGTCTTAATGAGGTACTAGGAAAATTCAACCTAAACAGTTACCCGCCTGATCATGGGCTAATAAAGTAGAATAATGGCTGACTACCTTAGGTGTTAAATTGTTTTTAGCTCAAGGATGGAGTGTTTATGTGCTTCTGAGATTTTTTTGGATATATTAAATCTTACTATCATATTAACTTGTTAATATCACTCATAAATCTTAGATACATATTAAACCGTCTCCCATGACTCATGTTTATGTTTTGTTTCAAATATAGGGATTTTATAGATGTATCTAAAAGGATACGTTCTGAAGAAATGTATTTTTCTTATAACATGAACAACGCTGTTTTATTTATCTTAATGTAGTAATCAATAGTAATCAAATGGTTAAAGTTAATCCTAATTAAAGAAAATTTTCTTAAATAAAAAAATGAAGTACAAAATTAAAACATTTAATATGGTCCTTTTATGTATACACATTTAACACCTAAAATAAAAAAAGATTTAAAAGAAGCTGCATTACTAAATTTCAAAGGACATTTTTCCTGTACATTCAAGTTCCTTGCCTAAGTCTTTTGTTATTGAAAAGATGTTTCTCAACAGTGCTCATATTCTCATGGTTCTATTGCATTTCCCAATCAAGCCTGACCACAGATATGAGTCCATCGATCATATCACCCCTCCTGAACCACCCAAAGCAGCCGACTTGAGTGCATTTCCGTTTCTGAATCAATGTCACTGCTGTCAGGCGGTGAACCACCGTGGTGGTGCTACAAACTCGAACCGCATTTGTGGGTGGTTTTTGTGCACCGACTTGGTGTTTGCATTTGCATACAATGACTGCCAGAGGAGTGTGCATGCTGAGTGCAGTTCCACTCCGTTCTGTTCTATTCCGATCTTGCACAACCCTATAGAACCGCCAAAAACTGGAGATACATATAGCGAAGTTCGCTTCCGCCTCCCAGCAAACTGTGTAGCCCAATCTCCAAGTGTAAATTACGATCTGTCCCACGCCAAATATAAGCAAGCTAAATAACTAGCGAACACGCCACCTCAGAAACACAATTAATTGCGGCAACGTCATCAAGTTTGGCATTTGAACTTGGATTCTTTTGGCATTTGGTAGCATATGGTGCTCAGTAGGCTTATGTCACCGCCACCCGCTGGGTTCATGTACTCCACTCCGTCACACTTGGGAACCCCGAAAGGAAGTCGCGTCGAAATCAAAACCCAAATCGTTCATTGATGATCTGACTCGCCAGTTTCAGAAATGTCATAAATCTCCTGCACTTGACAACTCAATTTCTTCTGTAAAGCAATGAGATCATGTTAACTGAAGAGACCGGAAAATTTGGAGGAATTATATTTGCATAAATAATGTAATTAACCTGATACCGGCTTCAATGCGAAGGTCATTTCAGTTGTTGAGTAAATAAATAGTTTTACGGCTTTAATTATGGATTAGAAAGAATTTAGATATGAAGTGCTTAGTCAAAACGTTTTTTAAGTAAATAATTTCTTATTTAGTTAAATTTACCCGTTTCTCGTAAAGTAAAAGGGTATACTATTGTAGATTCGTTGGAAAGTATATAACAGGCAGAAGGAAGAGTTTCTGACCCCATAAAGTATATATATTCTTGATCAGGATCACTAGCCGAGTCGATCCAGCCATGTCCGTCTGTCCGTCCGGATGAAGAGAGATCTCGGAAACTATAGGAGCTACAATACTGGGATTTGGCATGCAGATTTCTGAGATTCCTGCAAGTTTCTCTCAGCAATGTGCCACGCCCACTCTAACGCCCATAACGCCTAAATCTGTCTACCGCCCACATATTGAGATCGCGGGTATGTGGCGCATTTCAATCTCTCCTTACTGCTTGTATATTTCCATTTCCCTTTGGTCCCTTTAGCAGAGTAATGGGTATCTGATAGTCGAGGTACGCGACTACAGCGTTCACCCTTCTTTTAAATTATAATGTTTAATAAATAATATAATTTATCCTCATACGAAAAAAATTTCCAACATAAAAACGCGACTTACGAATAACTGATTGCACAGAATGTAGTTCTGAAAAATTTCTGAACCACTCACAAAAATCCATTGGTAAAGTTAACCAATGTAATAGTCCCCAACCATCGAATTGTCAATTTTACCCATTAAATAGTTACTCTTACGTAATACGTAAGTGAAAGGGTTACTATAAAAAAGAGTTTGATTGAAGTAAATAAACTATTTTGGTAGCTACCCCACCCATAAAATATAGTAATAAAATTGATTTATACTAAATGTATACCTCTAAAATTTATACAGCTATTAACTAAATACATAGATACGGCAAGTTGGAAAGGAAATTTTTAAGCTAAATAAGTTACTAAGCTATCAGCATTATTCAACTTTACTAACTTTTTTTGTGTGCAGCACACACAAATCTATTGCGAATTTTTGGTATTGCATTGGTTCTTTATCCACCTAAGAACTTAAAACATTTCCTTGCAAAATGATCAAAGTGAACCGAATAGCTAAATATCCCATGTGGGTGACCCCAATTGTACCATTTTCAATTTACTGCGCTTGCCATTTATCAAAACTTTGGCCACAGCTTTGTTTACTATACCGTTTTGTGGGTGGGTGGGTTAGTTAGTGGAGCTTTCGGCTCCGTTGTATATATTATGCGATTGTGAATAATACCGATGCTTACTGCAACCGCCCACTCACCCCCGAGACCCCGGATCCGATGAGCATTATGCCAGGCTAATGGGTTTAGTTTTGTTACGCAAATAAAAGCCAGGGAATGTGGGTCAATCGGGGGTCTGTCATCTGTCACTTGACCAGTCTGTCGGCGTGGACCCCGAAAGCTAATGAGTTTTAGTTGTGCGCCAAGTTAATTCTAAATTTTAGTTGTTTTATTGTTGTTGCAACTCTCAAGTGACCCGTGTCATTGCCTCTTTATAAGGGTTATAGGCACATGTGCCTGTTTATAGGGTTAGAGGGTTAGCTTCGGGGGCAGAGCGAATCCATTAATTAGTTGAAACTAGGGGAGCGAGGAAAAGGAACACCACAGATCAACTTACCCTTAAGTTCATCCATAGGATATCCCATATGGTCGCGGTCCCTATCCCGATCTCTATCACCTGGCATGGGTCGTTCTGAAATTATATAATGTTTAAATTTTCCTTTTTAATTTTTGTTTAAAATAATCAGAAGATATAAATATTCTTAGCCAAACCCAAAACCCAATAAAATCCCTTTAATTATAGACCGACATAAATTAATATAACATCGTTTATGTGTACAACAAAATCAAAAGCAATATACATACTTATTAAGAATTAAAAACAAGGCGCAGGTAACTTATACTTTTTAAAGGCACTTCAAAGGAAAGATAACAATTCGAAAACAGCATACACTGGTCTCTAAATTTGTAAATCCGATTAATATCGTTTGAAAATAATCCAAGCTATCGTCTTATTTATTAATGGCGTTGTTTTGCAACGACTTTTAACTTGTCTTGAGTTATCGACTAGGTTGGTAATGATTTCTAACTAACTTTAAACTAAAAATGTTGTAAAATTTTGAAGGTCATGTGCTACATCAAATTCAATACAGATATAGACAAAATATTGAAAATCATTATAACATTTATATGGTGTGTTAATGGAATTTCTGGGGTATAAAATACTAACATTCAAATTCTAATTCTTTGCTAGTCATCCCTACAGTACTTACTGTTATTTCCTTGCATGAAGTCATCGGGATTAAAGTACGTGGCAATGGTCTTGTCGTCGTCGTAGCTCCCGTATCCGTCTCCTGGTCTCATGGCACTGCCGTTCCTCCGGATGTACTCATCTCGTGGTGGAGGAGGACCCTCATATGGAGGCGGAGGACGTGCCGAAGGTCCGTTCATTCCGTATCCATCGTGTGGCGACATTGCTGGTGGATCTGGTCGATTGGTGTAGTCCGGCCGAGGCTCGCGATGGGGATCATAGCTGGGACTTGGGCGTGGTCCATAGGAGGGCGGTGTGGAGCTGTCGTAGGGACGAGGAAGGTACTCCGGGCGATCATCTGTGGGGCGTGGTGGACGAGGAGGATACTCCGGGCGATCATCCGTGGGACGTGGTGGACCGGGCGGATATTCCGGACGGTCGGCAGTGGGACGAGGTGGCCTGGACGCATAACTGGGTCGGTCCTCCGAAGAACCACTCGATGGCCTCACCGTTGGCGGGGTGTATCTCTCCGGGGACCCGTAGCTGTAACCGTTTCCGTAGCCCAATCCAAAGATGGGTCTCGGCGGGCTGTGGGGCGTGGGCCTGAGGCCTTCATCTTCCGCCGGCTCTATGGGTCCATAGTGCGGTCGATAGCGCTCATCCACCTCGGGGGCATTGGCCGCATAGCCCCCGGGAATGTAGGCCTCCTCGTTGGGAGAGGGGTGGTTGTTCTCGTAGAGCGTGGGGTACTTGTAGAGGGGATACAGATCGTGCGAGAAGTACAGGCGGTCGCCCACACCCGGAGGCGGGGGCAGGGAGGGTCCCAGCGGAGGTGGTGGACCCCCAGAAGTGTGGGGCGTTGGGTTCACCACCAGCACGGGCGTATTGCCCACATCCAAAGGCCTGTTCGGCAGATCCAGTGGCGTCGGCCCGGTCGATATGGCACTGGGACCTGGCACAGGCAGTGGACCGGGGGCAATCGAGTTGTCGCTCAAGTCGAAGCAGTTAGTTTTGCGCGTGTACAGATCAAAGTCGGGATCGAAAATCACGCCCCCCGGACGCCCGCCGCCCCCGGAACCGTATTGCTCCGATGACAACTGACAAGTGCCGTTTCCGCGTCGATGAACACTGAAAAAATTCAACAAAAAAGTAAGAAACTTATATACATAAGATGGAAATTGGGCAATCAAGGGGTGACAGGTGGAGGAAGACTCACCCGAACGAGATGGCCTGACACTTCTCGCCCGCCTGCAGGCACTTCTCCTTGCACATCTTCAGCGAGTTGGTGTCTTCGGTGCGGAAGGTCTTCTCAAATGGCAGCATCGCCTCCAGTGCAATCCGCTCGAAGCAGTCTGTCGATGCCAGATGGTAAATGTAAGATCGAAATTGCAAAAGGTTCGACTGGTAGTTAAGTAATCCCCCCCCCCTAACTCCTTTTAAACAATTGCGTCACCCCACTTGCACTTTCAAGGCCAACGCTGGTGCTCCACTTCGTCCACTCTACGGTAGGTTAGTTTTATTGACTCTGCAATTGTCTCTTTTCGATTGTTCGCCGGCTTTGTTCTCCATTTGGATTTGAATTTGAATTTTATTAACTTTGCGTGCTGGCGGGGCGCACTTGGGTGACCCATAGAATTTTTGTCAGTGCATGAATAATTCAAAAAGGTCAAGCCATAAACAAAACACATTGCTCTGCGGTGTCTGTGGTCTGACATGCTTGATGGATTGGCCCCCAGCCTATGGTAGTTAGATTGGCATGCTCTTTCCAAGAAATTATCTCATTTAGAATATGTTAAAATATTTCCTAGGTAATGACAATCAGATTTATTTTGGGGAGCGATCTATTGTATGGAGTGTAAAGCAAACTAACCCACCCCCGAATCTTTCCAGAATTGTGAGTTATTATTTTGTATCACCTAACTGATGTAATTAAGTACACTTTAGTACCAATTAATTTTTTAATATTAATTTTTCTTACTTTATCACTTTAGCCAGAATGGGTCAATAACACAGGCTAGTATCTAAAACCATTCTTTAAAAAAGTATAATGTACAAATTTTCCCACTCGCACAATGCTTGTAAAAAGCTAGTTCCAAAAAGGCATTAAGCCGGTTTTTACGACCAATTGTACGAGTATGTAAGCTTAAATAGCGTTTATTATCATCTGAACATTTAATAAATGCTTTACAAATGTTAAATTATTAACCGAAGCCTAAGGAATTAAAAACGCAAATTAATAACAATAATTTATGAATTTTACAAGTAGGTATTTCATAACTGTTAAAAATATTTGGGGCCGTTTTCTTGATCGCAAGGCAAATTGCCAAATTGCTTAAAAAATTTTTTGGTTTTTCGCTTTTGTAAAAAAAACACTCCTTAACGAGGTGAAAACCCATGGCGTCTACACGTTCAATATGCAAAAATTATGATAATCAATTTGCTATCAAAAAATAAATAAGCCTTTAGGAAAAACAGATTCAAATGTTGTAATATGTCTTTATTCGACCAACTACAGACGCCTAAAACTAAACTTTTAACATAATTTATCCTGAACCAAGTTCTAATAAGTCTCAGACTAGGGATTTTGGGGAAATACCAATACCTTTTGTTTGGTGTATGACTTCTTGTGAACGAACTATCGTAAACAATGTTTAGTTTTGCGGCTATCCATAAATACGTACACATGTATGTACATATTTATTTTTCTCCCTTCTCACACTCCCTAGGCAATTTGCCACTACGTAGACAGCCGTCTTCAGTGATAGATCACCCGTGATACCCAATATTTCACTTACCATTTCGTGCGGATACCAACTGGTTGTCGACGGTCAGAGCACTCGCAGAATCCCAAAGACCGATGAGGAGAAATGCTACCTGCAAGCGCATTAATCGCTTCCCGAGCGTATTATCGCTAATCGCGATCATTGGGACCGATTAATTAGAGTCCCCAGCGGCACAATCCGATATGATGATGCTTTCTTTTAGATTTGCTCTCACTTAACTCGCTTTTTTTGGCACTTCCCTTTTTGCATTATCGGCGGTTTCACTGGGGCTTCTTCTGGCCAGAAGATTTGCTCGAGGCACCGACGGGATGGACGCGAGATTTCGAACTGAGAGATGGAGATTCGCTCGAGGCGCGTAGAAACCTTCTGCTTCTTTCTTCCGCCTTTCTTTGCAGTCGCGTGTATCTTTCTTTTTTCGTTTTTATTCGTTTTGTTTCTGGCTTTCGCGTTACGACTCGCTACTTTTCACATTCTTTTCACCGTTAATTATGTTGCCAAAATATGCAGATCGTTAAAAATGAGCCAAGATCGGCTTTATTTATGGGTTCGCGGGCAATGGACGGCTTAAGATTCTGCGTTTGCGGAAGAAGCCGAATCCACATAATTATGATGGGTCTAAGCTGTAACTTCAAGTGGGAGAGGGAGGGCGAGAGTCAATAACCTGACCAACCAAGCGCTACGGAGCCTTCTTACAGGCGATGACGTCAGAGTTCACTGCGCAGGTGCCTGTGACCTTTCGACCAAAAGTTTTTGAAGTGGCCCGATAATTAAAAACTCGAATGACAAAGTGCTCATCAATGCGTAAATCCAGCTGGGAAATGTAGCGAATATAACGGCACTTCCGTTGCGCTTTGACACTTTGCAAATCTTTGCAATTTCGGCTAATGACAAGAAAGCCCCCCAAACACACACCTAGTTTCAATTTACTTTTTAGTTTCTTATTTTATATTTGATTCTGCTTTTGGGCCTGAATGTTTTTATTTATTTATTTTTTGTTTTGGCCCGTCTCGTTTGGTTTGGCTTGTTTTCGCTGCCCGCGACTCGACTCCGATCCGCACTCGCTAAACAATTGAAACTGAATAAAATTCTGATTTAGTTGTGTTCGAAACTCATCGGAAGAGCAGAAAGCGGCGCAGACGCGACAGTGCTGCGACAGAGCCGCGGGCAGAGGCAGAGCAGCGGCAGAGGCAGGTAAGCATCTCGCTCGGCAATTTGTTGTTGCCACACTCAGATAAATTGGGAGCCACTATGAAATATATATATTTTTTAAAGTTATATTAAGTTTATAAACTTCATAATCTGACATATCTTTAAAACTTTGCTAACAAATTACGATCTAGCTTCTTCGGTTTAGGAAAAAAAGTGTTAACAAAACTACTCAACCCAACTCAGAAATCAATTACCACCTACTTTGTTTGGAGGACCTTTTTTTTCTCTAACAAATTAAACAGATTTCGATTAATCTTTAGTTTATAAAATTATGATATTCTTATAAAAATTATAGTTTAAATATATATATTTAAAATGGGTGTGTAAGCATTCTACATTCTATTCTAATGTAATATATCTTAGCTATCAACATTGACACGATTTTCAGATATGTATGAAAATATTCAACATTCATTTATTAAATATTTAATATTGCTTCCTTCAGTTTTTCAAACTTGTTCGACGTATTCTTAGTTCAAACTCTCTAAATAGAAGGTTTTTCTTCCAGTTGGTTTAGAACATAAGTCTAAGCTCAACATTCAATTTCATGAAGTTTTGGCTAATTATTCTTAATAGCTTGAACCCTTTTTCACGAGTGTAATTTAGTTGTTGTTTATTTAGATGGTAGCTGTATGGCGTGAGGTGTTTAGGGGGAGTGGATGAGGAGCAATAGGCGCTGGAGCTTGGCTCTGCAGATCGTCATCATTATTATCATCATTAGCATTGCCCACCTGCGCCCCCTTGAGACGTGGGTGGCGAGGAGGGGAATGACGAAGAGCTACTTGGGAGTTCGTCCATTTCCCCCCATTTCCCCACAATCGTTGGCAGTGACTCTCGAAAATTGTTTAAAATGAAATTGTAACAGGAAAAATTACTCACCTTCGGAGGAAAATTCGGATACTCTTTCGATTTAAAATGTTAAAAATAAATATACTGAAATTAGCACATATAATTCTGAGAAATATGATAATTATGAACTACAAATACATTTTAAGTTCCGATATAAACAGAGTTAATTTTTTTTTTGTTGGTATTCAAGAAGCGAAATAAAAAGTAATGCCAAAAAGTTTGACACTTTGAAACACCTACATAAAATATAACTATCAGCGAAAAATGTAGATTCCAAACCATTAAAAGGGTATACATTGGGTATAGTTGCTTTAACGATATAGCAACCTTTTTACAAAACGCTTAGACTAGTTCATATACTCTGCTTAGTACAAACATCAAAATAAAGGCACACTTGCGTGATTATTGTTTATGTGTTCTGTGTTTCTTTTGTTGCAATTAGAGACAGAACGCTTGGAAAAGAAGACGGGAATCAGCGGAGCAGTCGAATCAGAACCGCACCTGAAGCAAAGAATCCGAGAATTTTAGCTTGGCGCTTGGAGAGTTTTCTTTCCGCATTGCTGGGCGCTCTAAGCGGTGTGAAATTCAAATTTAACGGACACCCACCGGCTTTGCAGCTGCCCACAAGTGCATTTGGGGCTTTAACTCAAGCGTTAATTCGAGCGAGTTTTCACATAACGCTCGAAAAAGAGATTTTCGAAAGATGGGGAAACCGAAAGATGATGATGACCGGGCAGTGGGCGGCGGGGGGAGGTGAGGCTCATAATTGGCGACACCTTTAAGTGCCGACCTTGTCATGCTCGCTGGCGTCGTCTAATTCAGGCCGGGGTTGTTCTTCATCAGCGCCTCGCCATCGACTTCACAAATCTGCGCCGCAGTCTGCGCAGGCGCATGCGCAGCAGTCGCAGTCGACGTCGACGTCAGCAGAGGCAGGAGATTCGTATTCGGAATCGGCGTGGGATTCGCCGAGGGCAAGATGAGCTCATTAGGCAGCTAATTTGCATACCAGGAACTCTCAGGAATTCTGAGTCTCAGAAAATGTTACGCCCCTAAGCAAGTCATCAGAATGGGGATCGCCCAATAGCCGAATTATAAGTAAAATGATATATTAGACACGATTTTCAGCATAAAAAGATCATTAAGTAATCTCTTAAGTAGTGTTACCTATTTTTACATATATTATGTGTTTAATTTTACATATGGTTTAATTTTGGTTGCCTTTTAAAGTTCATAAAATTTGAGTGTCTTTATTTTTTATGAAAATTTAAACTGCTTAGATAAATTTTATTTACATGAAAAAAAACTTTTACACCGGTAAAATATACACACATCTATAGATAACACATGGAAAGTCTAGCTGAAAATATATTTCATTATAGTAAAATTACTTACCGCGCCCTGTACATCTATTTTAAATCATAACATTACGTATTTGGTATTTTCTGATACCTACTTTAAATTTACGATTTTCATTTTCAAAATTCAACTATATGTGTTATCAAATATCAAGAAAACATTTAAATAAAACATTTACTTACAAATGTGAGGTAATAGGTAATTGTAGGAGTACACAATAAGATCACTGGGGACCTGTAAATCAATACCTGATGAATGGAACAAATATGAATTAATTCTCTATTATTCGGGAAACAACAATTTCGTCTAGTTATGCGTTTAAATTTGCTAAAATGGTATGAGCAATAATACACCTAAGATTGTTTTGAAAATGTGCATAACACAATAAGTTGTAATCCACTCTCGTAAGATCTTTACTTCCCTAGAAATTAAAATAGAAGTAAGAATATTATTCGGCTTACCGCAAAGGCCATTATCGGTCGTTCTTCATTATTAATGACCGGTGGTCTCCGCCCCAAGCAGGTCAAGTCTGCTTCGCCAAACAGTTAACACCCAAATGGCCAAAATAGAAGCCCGGCACTGGCACTTCCAGGCATTGCCCAATATTTTGTGCCTCTGAATACTTGGCTTTGGGGGCTGCTCCACATATCGCTAATATCGCTTGAATGTGCAGCGTTTGGCTTGGCACTTGTCCCTCGACCCTATCGAAGTCCAAAATCGCATCGCATCAAAATTCACCCGACTTGCGGTGGCGATCGGCGCTTTTGGCGGACGCACTCCGCCTGCCAAGTGGGTGAGGCTCCGATCGATGATATGGGGCCGCGAAGTGACCACGTTTCTAGCATATCTGCGTGAAAATTTCAATTTCAGTTTCAGGTCGTGTCTAACTGGAAGATATTGGCGGCAGATACGATTCGATGGCGAACCGATCGCCGATCAGAGCGGAGTGTGGTCCGCAGGAAACCCATGCCTCCGTGTCATGTAATCCACATCGATTGGGTAAACGATTTCTGTGAGGGCGCATAAATTGTGTCCAAGCTGATTGGCAGTTGTGGGCCAGCAGGAAGACCCGCTAGTATCACGTACCAAAATCATTCATCCATCTTGGTTAGTCGCACAAATATGCAAATCCAAGGGAACATGATTTAATAAAAATGTGCAGTATTTCGTTAAAGAAGAAAGTGATGGGAAGCTGAGGTCTTTTTGAGAAAGTGCTTTATATTTTCAAAAGAATATAACTTCTCTTGATATAACACCACGGAGTCGATATTAAAATTCCATTACCTACTAAAATATTTTATTTATGTGTTTAACTTTAACGTTTATTATTTCATTGCTCCGTACATCTTGTTCAAATCTTTTCAAAGAAAACTACCACGTTATGAGCACGCAATCATTTATTTAACAACTAACTGTACCTATCCATTTACCGAGCATTCACTTAGCATCTAACTAACGTTAACGTCTTTAAGTGTTAGTTAAAACTTATTATACACTTAACCGCTTCACAGATTAGCAGCCTTACAAAAGAATTACCAATTCAACAAAAACGAATTAAGACTTCATAATATTCATGCACTGGCAGTAATACCAGTCTGTATGCTGGCAGATTCATATTTTTGTCTTCTAGCTTTAAGATTTTCCAGCTTCTTGCTTTCTGCTTCTGATACTCCATTACTCAGATGCAAATCACACTCTGGTGTATATCAGTCTGCATTGGAACGCGCTAGGTTGATTTATGAGGCAGATATCTCGTATCAATCTTGCTGGCTTTTATCAAAAACGATTTGTCCACTCATGTTTGACCAATAGACTGGACAGCCGCTCATGTTCCGCCGTCCAATTAGACAGCTATTTCGTTCGGTTATATGTATCTGCATAACGAGGAGCACTTGGCGTGTTTTACATCATGTTGGTGCTGAGTGGCCATTGAGTCCCCGTGTGCGTCAGAGTCTCAATTGGAGTCTGAGTCTAACGGCCAGCTGTTCGACTCTGCCTGCCCAGAGATCCTATACACAGAAAAAAATATTTTTTTTTATTCAGTAATGGATCTGAAATCTTTTGAAGTACGATAATAATATTTTAACCATTGCAAAAATAGTTTCTTAACTTTAGGAAAACATATTTATAATTTTTTTTGTGAGTCCATAATATCAAAACTTTAGTTAACTGTAGATTTTATAAGGTAAAACCAACATTCCTATCTGACTATAATATTATTTTTGAAACATCTTTATCAATACTTGGAACTTTCAATAATTTTTGTGAACAAGAAATTATTTCAAGTCAAATACAAATTGACTTACAATTTAGATAATGTCATCTAAATTAACTTAGTTAGGTTGGCAGTTCCTCCATAAACAAAGATTATCACCATCATGATCATCTAATCCTAGATTCCTATTTCTTCCCGTGTAGTTTCTGGACCCGGTCAGGGTTTTTAGTGTGGTCCACATTCACAGAAATCAAAACTCACCCAACAGGAAGTATTTGCATGTGCAGATCTCGGGACCCCGATCCCAAGCGATTCGCGAGCGCGTTCGCAGAAAGCGAAAGTAATCATCCACCACTGCGGCCACCGGGTGGATTATTGTTTGGTTTTGCCCACGGGCACGCATGGCTAAAAGGGGCGCGGGGAGTTCGGGGGGGCGTGGCATGGAAGCCATGGCATATTTATCGCACAGACAAATATCCATTATGCAATTTGGCATGTCTAAAACGAGCAATTTGCCGCAAATGCAATAATATCCCGCCAAAGGGGGTGGGGTAAGCCGGTGGCTTGGTGGTTCGGCGCATCGGTGGTTCGGTGGGGCAGGATGGCAGTGGTGCGCCCTCAAACGCAGCCAAAACACACTGGCCTACATATACACATAAAACCCCAGAGAGTGGAAAAGAAAATAAAATGGTAATAGTTTAACCCACTTTGGCCACCTAACTAGTTGGTTGCTTAAGCATTTTAGGAAACAAATTAAATTGAAATAAAAATTCAATACTTTAAAATGAGTCAGGCGGCCTAATCAAAATATGGTAAAAATATATGTAAGTTCTTATAAGACCTTATTTTCAAAAAATAAAATTAATTAGAAAATCCTTTTAAGACAACAACAAAATTAAAACCAGTTAGATAAGATTATTATTATTTTATAGTGTTGGTATTTATTACATTTAAATCACTTAAGGATACCTCCCCGTTCAGCCTCAAATGGGTTAAAGAAACCCGCACATTAAAGCTCTTGACAGTTGATTTAACACACAACATGCAACAACACACATGCAACAACTAGTTGCAACAGCAGCTGGCGTGGCTAGCGTTATGTCAGGGGCATTAAAGAATGGGCAAAAAAGATACAATATCAAAATCGAATTTCTGTAAAATCGTGTGATGCATTGCCTGATTAGCGCCACCACTGTTACTGTTAAGTAATTGCCCGAAATGCGTTTTATTGCAAATTGACGGCGTACGTGTTTCTTGTTTCGTGTTTTATGTGTCGTGATGTGTTTGGGTACATCCAAAAGTTGACTCCTGTAATTCCAACGCTGGCCCATATTAATTGACACCACCGGCGACGGTTACCACAAAAATGGGGAAAAAATCCTCAAGGTCGTTCGCGGCAGATGGCTTCAAGTCGATATGGAAGGGCCAAAAATTTGGATTAGCGTGACAACTTTGTTTTTTGTCTCCGCGCTCACGTTCACTTTTTGTGGCGGTCTGCAGAAGGCCGCTAAGTGATCCATTCAGTGACGATATATGTGCTACTTGGTCATTCACTTGGAATGATTTTACCCCCACTTCCCGCTGTTTTGCGATTATGATTATGAAATGAATGTAATTTGCCTCGTATTACACAAAGCCCCAGCAAGTCAAAGTTCGATCGTCTGCCTTTGTGGACAACTGAAGCATGGACCGCTCTTAACCCGCCCCTCCCCACCGTCCGATGGGTCTTAACCCCTCGTAAACAGAAGTCGACAACAGGTAATACCTACATGCTAACATGTGGCCAACAGTCGGTCGTCCACTGTTATGCTTATTGTCGCTTTGCTGTTGATGTTGCTGTTGCCGTTGCCGCCGATGTTGCTGCTGTTGTTGCTGCTGCTGCTGCCGCTGCTGCACCAGCGTCACGTCTTTCTTGTGCAGCGCAGTCGGCTCTTGGCAACCAAAAAATCGCTGTTGGCGCCGGGTATAAAACGGATGAGCCGCAGCCTGTGGTTATCAGTCACCACCTGACAGTGCTCCGGTTTTCGTATCGACTTTCGCAGAAAAGTTCAGCCAACCAACAATGTCCGCCCTGAAAGCATTCGTAAGTGCGCCAAGGATATCGGTTCAACAGTGTTCAGCAACAGCCAAAAAAATCGTAATACCCTCTGCAAGGGTATAAAAAGGATTAACCTCAAGTGGACTATAGTGAACAAATAAGACAGCTATTGAAAACTAAAATATTGGAAATATAAAATCACAAATTCAGCAGTAACAAAATCTACAACTTAAAATTTACGAACCGATATTTTTTCCATTTTTAATGGATTAGAAAGTTTTGGTTTCTCACAATATTTTCTAAATAAGTCCCATCTTTTTACTAAAGTTCTTATAAGGGGGTGACATCCCAATCGCGTAAATTTTGTGTTGATGCTTACGTACATTTTCCTAATAGTAAATCTAAACAATAATTTCAAAATATTTTGTTTATAAGTGGTTTTTACTATTTAATCTGCCAATTTCCTTTTGAACTAAATGCATAACGTCCACAATTGTTTTCAGTTTAATTTGTCCAGTATTGCCAATTTAATTCTTTCATCGGATAGATGCCGAGAAAAAGGATTTTCTTTCCGAATGGCTATAAATGGTAGTTATGTTAACCACAAATATGTTTGCAATTGTGTGGTCTCAATGTTTATATTTGATGAACACCGGGAAAATAGATCATGCAGCTTTTAAATAAATATCAGGAGCAGCTATCTAGCTTGCGCCAAATTAAGATTAATCATACTGATTATTTTCAATTTAAGCTATTTTTCACTCCTAACTCGGGCCTAAACACTTCCTTATCCCCTTTCAGATCTTCGTCGCCCTCTTCGCCGTGGCCTACTGCGCCCCCAGTCCCGGCTTCTTTGGCAAACAGTAAGTATCTCCGGCCGATCTGCATCTGCACCTGAACTGATCCATAAATAACCCGAGCGAATCGATAAAAATACCCATTTCCCGCTTTACGCCAGGCTAACGAGCGGTCGCATGGGTTTTTAAACGCTGCGACTGGGCTGTGGGTATATAAAATATGTGTCCGATTGCGATCGAATTGAGCAATCAAAACGCTTGTAGCACTTAGAGCCCCGCTCCAATCGCAGTCTTTGTATCATGCACACGGCTACCATTGAACTTAGCCGATCTTGGCTCGGTGCTTAGGAATTTCACAGGCTGCGGCTGGCATTTAATTCATTGTAATGCGCGCATAATTGTGCGAACTAATTGCCAATTCCAATTGGCTGCCAAGACTCCGAGTTCAAGCAACTTATTAGCTAATAAGCGATGGGTATATGCTGCCAATCTGACCGATTTCACTTTCGATCCGCAGCGAGCACCACACCATCCACGTGCCGTACAAGGTGCACACGGTGCATCACCATCACGTCCAGAAGGTCCATGTGCCGGTGGTGAAGCACGTGCCGGTGCCCATCTACAAGGAGGTGCCCGTGCACCACGTCCACCACGAGGAGGTCCCGGTGCCAGTGCACCACGTCCACCACGAGGAGGTGCCCGTCCACCACGTCTTCGATGACCACCACGACCACCACGGCTGGAGCTCCCACCACGGACACGGCTGGCTGTAAGCCACCAGCTGGTCTGCTTGTCTGTCATCCCACCCACTCAGCCAGTCCAATAAAAGCAGCCTGTAAATACTGTACAATGCCTAAGTTAATGACTGTAAATAAAATCACATTTCGACTGTACACAGAAATATCTATGTGTGTTTGTTGTTTAAATAAAATCGTTTATGATATAAAGTATTTTTATTATTGTACTGTCAAATAAATATCATTCATTGCGATCACTAGGACAATTTTGGTTTGATATTAAACCAAAAATATTCATGTTCCTCAACATATTTTTGCTAACTTTAAAGGCACCTAATTGATTTTTAAATTTCTTGAATGGATATTATAACTTATAAGAACTTAAAGTACGAGTATTGCGTAGTTTTGTATTTAACGTCAGAACTAACACATCTGCCTCTCCAACAATATAAAACCCACACACTCGGATCGATAATATTATCCCATTGAAAACGCAGAGACATAAAACTCTATAGAAACCGGCAACATGATCTATCTACAGAGCTGCTGCTGCTGCGTGGATCTGCGCATCGGTACCATTGTGATTGGAGTTCTGCATATCATAGCGGATATTCTTGGAGGTACTTTTATTGCCCTATTTGGGGAGTCTGGTAAGTGAAGTTGTATGGATTTTAGGCGAGAGATTTGACCTGGTTATCCCCAAGGCATTCCCGATTTGGGCCATACTCTGTTCATTATATTCATGATGCTGCACATACTCAGCTGTGTATTCCTGATCATCGGATGCTTTCGGGTGAGATTCCATCCTTTCTATTTAATTTCCCTTGTAACTTATATTATTTATTGTAGTTAAAAAGCAGCTGGATGCTATTTTATATAATAATGACTATGATCAAAATTCTTGCCATGATTATACTGATAATATCCGACGTTATACTCGTCATTTGGTACTGGGTGTTGGTCACATATGCCCTAATGTTCTGTGAGTAGCTCTGATCCTCTGAGATTTCCAGATAACTTCAATAATCATTAAAACTTTCAGTTTTATGCCTATATTTCTGGCTGGTGGCCTACTCCTTTTACGCCGCCCTTGGGGGAGCGCTGTTTATCTAATCTCTCAGATACCAAGTATTGTATTAAATTGTACGGTGCGAGTAACAATAAAATCTTTGGCTTTTTAACAATCTATCGTCTTTTTTAATCAGATGTTGGGGACTAAAACCACAGATCTCGAGTTTACCAAGTGTTAGCAAATATTGCCAATACAATATTTATTTGTTTTATTTTTACCATAGTTTTTGTGGTTTCACATCACTATTACAAAGTTCAAAGGGCAATAAAAACCAAACCATTTATTATTATTAACAGAGACATTTAATATGAATTAGTTTTTTAAAAGTCAACTTGGCAATGGCTCATTTATTTTCTTACAATCGAAAACCTGTCGAACACAACTTTGTTTTTTATTGATTCCAAGACTACAAATTTCAAACAAAAACAATTATTTCAAATTTACACATGCACATAAAAGTACTTTCATGAATGGCATATATTTCCCAGGTAGTCAAGGAAAATAATTATTACCCGCCAAAAAATGGGGTAATGTATTATTATTGATTACAAACATAACGAAATTTCGATTGCACGCACATTTAAAGTGAATTGGTTGGCACTGTGATAGTTTCGATTGGATCATTGCTCCATTAGTTAATTCCATTGCAAGACTGTAATTTGCAGTTGCACTTGACCTTGGGTTTGCCTCCCGAAGGCGGCAATTAAGCCGAAGTTTTGCAAGAACGACTTTCACAAAGCACTCACTCGACCAGCTCCGACTGAGGTCGACTGCCAGTCCGCTCCGCTCCCTTCTGATCTGGACCGATCCGATCCGGTCCGGTCACTCCGCTCCTGGCCCACGTAATGCTGTAATTCAGGGGCGTGGCAGGGCACATTCTCGGGGCATGAGAGCGACAGTTCCTAGATAAACACGCTTCAAACTGGTCCTAGGAAATTTTTAATTAAATAATAAATAATATTATTCTCTTTAAGGATTTTCTTAAATATTTTAAAATGTAAATAAGGATTGGAATAGGTTTGTGATATTTATTTAATTAATGAGCATAGAAAATAATGTAAATAGAAATTGGAAAATGTTTGTGATATTTATTTATGCTGTATGAAATGTTACAACAAAATAGTTTTTTTATTTAAATTTACATTACATTTTTATTAAAATTATCTTATGAAATCCTCTTTTATTTCCCTTTTACAATGTTGCAAAGCCCATTCCTTTACAGGTTTATTTTTCACCATTAGGAAATGTAACTTTCTGGTAATTTTAAGATTAAAGGAGTTTCCGAATTTTAAAGACAGTATTTATTTTGTCTCTAATATTGTAGCACAGCATTTTAAAATATTTTTTGGAATTGTTCAGTAAACAAATAAAGTTAGATAGATCAGTATCTATAAAATAGAACAGCATTTACTTTCCTTAACCCAGATGGAAAAGTAAAGTGTAGTTTTAGATCCTTTAAAAAAACATAATTTCTATTCCTTAGCTTTCTAGCAGCTTGACTCCCTTTTAATACATTACAACCCATATAAAGTCGAATATCTTTTACCAACATTTTGCATTTATTTCGGCGCCAACAACAAAGAATTTCAGATTAATGTCCACTAATTGAGAACTGGGGAAAGGCGAAGCGTTAGAGGAAGTTGCGGGTAGCCGCAAGAGAACAGCTTTAGTTGCAGTAGGGGAAGTTGGGGCACTGGTGCGGGGAGACTCCGGCGGGGTAGAGACGCTCCGTCCAGCCGGGAAGCGGAGGAGCAGCCACGGGGGCTCCGCCGTGTCCGGCATTCACGTCGCAGTACGGGTAGTTGGGGCAGGTCTGCGGGTTGATGCCAGCCGGATACTTATCGCCACCGGCGGAGGGAGCGGGAGCTGCGTTCCACGAGGGCTGTGGCTGCCACTGGGGCTGGGGCTGGGGGTTCCACTGTTGCTGCGGCTGCTGCCACTGTTGCTGCGGCTGCGCGTTCCACTGTGGCTGCGGCTGCTGCCACTGCGGCTGCGGGGCACCCCACTGTGGCTGGGGATTGTGCAGACGCGCGTTATCACAGATGGGGAAGTTGGGGCAGTCCTGGGGATTGACGCCAGCCGGATACTGGGCAGCAGGTTGGTGCTGCGGCTTGGCCACCGCCAGAGCCACAAAGGTTGCGAAAAGCTGGAAGGAAAAGGTAAACAAGTTTTTAGAATACTTATATAAACAAGGCTAATTTTCTAATTCTCTATTGTGTGGGTAGTCTTAATATAATTTTATTAATTTATCCGATTGTAATGATTTATTCAAAATGTGAGCATTAATAAATGAGTTATAAACAAAAAAAATAAGATCAGTAAAGACTCATCTGGAGTTTATTGTAATATTTCCAAAAATCAAATAGTGAATTGATATGAATTATGTAGATAGGATATTGTTTTCCTATTATATGGAAAGGAATTGAAATTTAAAGTTAAATTTGAAAATGAACAGGATAAAAAATTTCCAGAAGTTCAAAGATGTATTGACATGGCTGTTATGTACACTTTTCGATAGAAGAATCTATTTTTAGACGCTAGTCCCAATCAAAGCCTGGTTTTAAAGGGCACTTACCAGCTTGAAGAACATGTTGGCTGTGCTGAGTGGGTGGGTGGTGATAGAGTTGGTTCTGGAGTCGGGCTAAAGGTAATCCTTGGCCAAATTGGACTATGAAGTCGTAGCTCAAACTTCCAATTGGGTTCCTGGTCAGTGCTGCACTGCTGCTGCCGAGCCCGGCCATCAAGCTTATATAGCTGGTGCTGGCTAGAACCGACTCTTGGCCGGGTCTCAATCTCAGCCAGAGTCTCTCGGCCAGACTCGGTTTCACTTTCATTGCTATTGCCGCTGCGATTGTTGCTTTTGCTTTTGTTGCTGCTGCTGCTGCTGCCGCTGCAGTGCTTTACTTTGCTTTACTTTTGCTTTTGTTTTTGTAGTTGACTGATCTCGCGCATATTTTACTTGATTGGCCCAACAGATTATTATGAGTCTTTGTTGTGGAGCGCGGACAAATAAATCGAACGGGGCCGACGGACAGGCACATAGGTGTACACTGTACACTGCACATATATACGGGTGGGTAATATGCTTAAACACCCAACTATGCAAACACACACGAGTGTGCACTTATATCGAGTTACCGACATGCCGTCATTAGCAATGAACTAAGCCCCCAACTTGCATTTCGGCCAAAAAAAGAAATCTCCGGGCTGGTTTGTATATTGTGGGTTCGCGTATTTTTGACAAAGCCGCGTTGGCGTTTGGCCAATTTTCGATCCGAATTTGCCAGCCCAGCTAGCTGGGGGATCAGCAGTTCGTGAATCACTTTACTCCGATTCGGATTTGGATTTGGATTCGGATCGTGTAAGAGGCACAGGTCGCCATCGGTTCTGCCATTGGTCCCACCATCGCCTTGGCATGCCACTGCCACATGTCGCCAGGTCTGCCCGGAAGGCAGCGGTGGTCCGAGTCATTGCAAACGGGTTTCGGTGCAGCGAACTTGCACTAGATCTCAATGCACAGCATTCGAGAGGCGGCGGCGGCCCGAGGTTCACTTCTAGGTGTTAGGGCTGGGCGATATGTATCTACAGTTCTATAGTTTTTTAGCATTCGTTAACACCACGTACTAAGGTGGTCAGTATCAACATTACAAGCAACCCAAATATATAAATACTTATCATAAGAACCATTATCAGTTACAATTTTAGTATAACGAATCTTTGGGTCCTTTCTAATATTTACAATATAAATATATACAATTTTAATGTTTGAACAATTTAAAAAGTCTTTAATATACATACTATTATTACAATTAAACTTTCGTAACTAAACAATTCAAATATAAAAGTTTGACTATAATTTAAGTACATGATTTTTAAGATTTGTCAAGGTTAAGCTTCAAATAACAATGTGGCAAACATAATATCTAACATTGTTTAATATCCTATAAGTACTATACTATACTATTTTACGCAATCCATCCCTAGTTTTAGATATTTCCGCTGCAGTTCTATTTCCGATAACCCGTTATAGGTTGACGGCCGTTCACTCATTCGCACCACGCAGTGCCAGTGAAACCGAACTCGGGACCGCCTTACGCACCAACGACCGACGACTTCCTGGGCCGCCAGGCTGAGTTGGGAAATTCAATTACGTGGAAAAGAGCGAAAATCGCACTGCCACACAAATTATGAGCTAATCAGGCAGCGCCCAGTGCCCGCGGGTCGGCACACGACGATCGGGCTCACATGGCTACATATATGAACATGTTATATTGGGGGACAGACGTGCCCAATTGTTGGCAACGGTGTAACAGATTTAGTTTAATTCTTATAATTTGTGTTTGCCGCCAGCCATTGGCAGGAATTTGCGCGGGCGCGGCACCGTCCAATCCACACAGTCTAATCCCTGCCCGCCGCTCCACCGCGATCACTGCTGTACAGAGCAAAACAAGACCACGTCAGTTTTACAAACATTCAATATTCAATAGGATTATACAATGTCTACAATCAAATAATTTAGGTACTAGCATTACAATTCAAACAGATACAAACACTAACAGTTTGGGAATTTACAGTTCTGATAAGGGTTATATCTGTTTTTCTTTTTATGAAAAAATTTAATAAATCTCAAAAAAGGGAAATAACATTTTGAGATTCATTTTACAAACAAGGAATAGTATACTTTATACTATTTATCCAGGACTAACATTTGAAATTTGTGAATGATGACCAAATATTTTACAAATTTTCAGGATTGTCTGATACAAATTTCAATATAAATCTATCAGGACTAATACATAATCTTTTAGAGATGAGTACTTAATTCTATGCTTCAAATCAGAAAGTCAATATCGTTTTACAGAAATTGGCTGTTCGTCGTATGGAGTATTTTCAAGAAATTAATCTTTTTGTATATTAAATATTGCCTGCCGAATTAAAAGTGATTAATGCCCAAATTTGGTGATTTTTTCGTGTGTAGGTGGGCGCTGGTGGTGCTGGTGTTGGCCGGCTAATGCGTTATGTTACGTTGCTGCACCGCCAGATTGCCAGGCAGCCAGCCAGCCGATCGATCTCGTTAGCCTTGATCAATGGCCCGGAAAAACAGAATAAAGC